AGCTTGTCGAAGTACTCCCGCCATCTATGCTTAATCTCTTCGTCCTTCACCAAGAGTTGGCCTGCTCCGTCCTTGATGCATTTGACTTGGCCAATATCCCTCGTCTTCCTCTCCCGGATCTTAGCCATCTTATAGATGTCCCTTTCACCTTCCTTCGTGCCTAACCGTTGGTAGAGGTCCTCATATGCCCGACCCCGTGCTTCACCAACAGCTCGCTTTGCGGCCTTCTTCGCCATCTTGTACTTCTCTATGTTGTCTGCACTCCTATCCAGGTATAGGCGTCTGAAGCAATCTTTCTTCTCTTTAAGCGCCTTCTGGACATCATCATTCCACCACCAGGTATCGTTATCTTCGCTTCTCCTTCCCCTGGACACTCCAAACTCCTCCGAGGCCACCTTACGAATGCAAGTCGCCATCTTCATCCACACATTGTCCGCATCCCCTCCTTCCTCCCAAGGGCCCTCCTTAAATACCCTCTCCTTGAACACCTGAGCTACCCCCCCCTTGAGCTTCCACCACTTCGTTCTAGCGACCTTGGCACGCTTATCCCGCTGGACACGAATCCGAAAGCGGAAGTCAGCAACCACCAGCTTATGCTGGGGTACAACACTCTCCCCAGGTATCACCTTACAGTCTAGGCACGCACGCCTATCTTCTCTTCTCGAGAGGATGAAATCAATCTGGCTAGAGTGTTGGCCACTACTAAAAGTCACCAGATGTGATTCTCTCTTTCTAAAGAGGGTGTTAGCTACAATCATGTTGTAGGCTAGAGCAAAGCTTAAGACATCTTCTCCTTCTTGATTCCTGATGCCATAGCCAAAGCCCCCATGTGCCCCTTCAAAACCTGTGTTAGATGTACCCACGTGGCCATTGAGGTCTCCTCCTATGAAGAGCTTCTCACCAATCGGTACACTCCTAACCATGTCTTCCAAGCCTTCCCAGAACTCCCTCTTGGTGTTCTCATTGTGGCCTACTTGCGGGGCATATGCGCTGATAACATTGAGAACCAAGTCCTCAGCTACCAGCTTGACCAGGATAATCCTGTCCCCACGTCTCCTGACGTCTACCACTCCATACTTGAGGCTCTTGTTGATCAAGATGCCTACGCCATTTCTGTTTGCAGCCGTCCCCGTGTACCACAGCTTGAAGCCGGTATCCTCCACCTCCTTCGCCTTCTGTCCTCTCCATTTGGTTTCTTGGACGCAAAGGATATCAACACCTCTCCTCACTGCTGCATCAACTAGCTCCCGAAGCTTCCCTGTCAGAGACCCTACGTTCCAGCTACCTAAGCGAATCCTCCTAGGCTCGGCTAGCTTCCTTACCCTTCGCACTCGTCGAGTCAAATGCGAAGACCCTTGCTCATTTTCCACTACATCCGGGCGCCGATGTAGCGCGCCACTAAGGATGCGACGACCCGATCCTCGCTCACTTGCCACCGTATCCGGATCAAGATACGGCGCGCCACTTGGGGGGTGACGGCCCGGCCCTTGCCCATTTTCCACCACACCCGGGTTCCGATGTGGCGCGTCGCTGAGAGGGTTACGCCCCAACGAAAATCTTTTGGGTTTCATCTCCATAAGAGTGGCTGAGTTTTTACGTTGGCTCGCCAAGCCTATCACAACCCTCCTCCTTTACCTTTATATGACCACCAAAATAAAATAAAAGGAATAACGCCACTAGATGGTCAAGTAGAGAAATTGAACACCTATGTTGTGGTTATACTTGCACTGATGGTAGTCTCTCTGGCCTTGAGGTTAACTAACCTATCGTGGTTTGCCTCCCTTTACAGGATTAACTGTGGGCAAGATATGCAGGAGACAGTGAAGAGGTGCACGAGAACTGCAGGTTACATCTTCAATGTTCGGACAACAGTTCCATCGACAAATGTGGAGGATCACTATGACATTTCTCTGTCTATTATGTAGCATGATTCTGTCACACTATTCTGCTATTGATCAACATGATTTTCAATGAGCTTTAAGCTTCATCAGTCTTATAACGCTCTGTTCTGATGGTGATTAGATGAAATTACTTCTTTATGGATGAGCAAATCGTTGCATAGATGTTGGTGTCCCGGCGCGTGAACCATGGATCAGCTTTGCGTAGTCGTTTGTCCTAAAAATACTGCACGTACAACCTGGGCACTCACGCTTCAAAATTAGTGCACACTTAAGGATTTTGGTGAGCAGATCATTTTCAGTGCTTATGAGTAGATCTGCTCAAGCTCTATGTCATCCTCCGACTGAGTACTTTGGAAGTTGGAACCCATAGTTTTCTCTTATCGCCTCTGTTATGGCCGCAATGTGACGTGCCAACGACTCGTGAATTGAGAATTTGAAATCCAGCTGCGCTGCCACCTGCTAGTATGTGTTGTGCAACAAGCCTAGCTGGGCCTGAACTTTCCCCAAACTCTTCCTAATCGCCGCATATGTTTTCTGCGCGACCTCACCATTGCCGTGAAGATGGTTTATGAGGTGTAGACGATCGATCCAAGGAATGAGTGTCCGGTACTACGGGATCTCAGCACAAAATTTGTCTGAAATCAAATTCTCTGTAGGATGCTGATCATGAAAGTCTCTAGTGTTTAAACCCGTTCTTGTAGTGGTATTTGGGTGGCAGTGCCCCTGGAGCTGTCAGTGTGATATTTTGGTCCAGTAGTATGGTCAGTCGACCCTTAAAAACCTGGCTTTTGCATGATCTACGTGACCTGGGTGCTGTAAAAACGTATCAATTATAACACTCACTTAGCTGCGTGCGAGAGATGGATTGGTGGAACTAGCGTAGATCTTGATGGGGATGCGAGAATAATTAGGCCCTTCCCAGTGCTTCATGGTGTACATGTGCTAAGGATGTCACATAGATAAAAAAAATGAGGTGGCAAAGCAATTAAAGAGGAGAGAGAATATTATGATGATCCCAGAAGGAAACAGTGCTAAGCAGGTAGACCTATGCAAAATGATTACTTCCTCCATCTAGGTGAGTAAGGCTGGTCGTAATGGTAGTATCATAGCTAGTATCATGCATGCCAACTAGGCAATTTTGATGATGTGTCATAGCATTAAATGAAGACAGAGAAGGTGTAGTATCATATCATGATACTGTATCATATTAAATGATATGCTACTTTGTGTCATGCATGACAATAAATAGAGTACTACATGATACTAATATATGATACTATGTATTAGAGAGGTAGTATCATACACTAGTATCATATGCATGATACTCCCTCCATTCCCTTATACAAGGCCACTATGAAAAATACATTTTGCATCTATACAAGGCCACTAACAGTAACCGAGGCAAAATTTAATGATGTTTTCTCGTACTAGCAAGTTGTTTAATACTTGCATGCATGTAGTCATAATGACACTGTGCTACTTCCTTCTCATTCCTTCCTTGCATGCATGCTAGCGCATTAATGATCTCAGATAACAAGCAGAAAAGTTGGCTTGCAAAGTAGTCATTAAATTTTACCTAGGTACCTGTAATTTGAGTTTGTGGTCTTGTATAAGGGAATGGAGGGAGTACTAGTATATGATACTCCCCATTACAACCAGCCTAAGTCATTTTAGATTGTGCACCGTGACCAAGGAGGAGGGGAAAATGAGAGACCTTAATGTTTATTTGCTAATTAATAGCATTGCATGCAATGAACTAACCACTGCATGTCGTGTTTGGTAGTCTCAAGTCATTAAAAATATACACACCCCTCATCTCTTATTGGTTGATATGTCTAGAAACAAGAAACGAGGTAGAAGTTAATGCATCGTGCCTAAGTGTTTTGGGATTATTTGGTTTTCGTAAGATGACTTACACACCTAGACGGAGGGAGTACCAACCAATACATAAATGAGTTTATATAATTGTTAAACAATTTAATGAGGGAAGCTTAGCTACAAAAGCTAACACATATGCATTGGGGAGACTAGTTGCTAAGGTTTTTAATGCCCTTAGCACCTCATGTAAGCATCAAAGCATTGGAAGTAGCCTTAGGGATAGTAGGAAGAAGCAATGTGCATCTACAAAATTTTGTTCCAAATATGACCATATGTGACTTGTGCAAAAATAAAATGACCTGAATGAATATTCACACATCATTTTCCTTTACTTTTTTTATGTGTGTGTGCACGCCACACATTATCATATTTTTTTTATAGATGAACAAGATATAACATAACCCATGCCCTTTATTTATTTATTTTTAACTAAGAAATGAGACATTCGACAATGGATACGCCTAACCGTGAGCTCGAAGGCGTCACACCCAACTCCGTCTTCTTCAGTTGAAAAAATCTCCCTCATCTCCCCTGTTCCAACCTAGTAACCGTGTGTTACAGAAGGGCGAGTGCTCCGCGGCTGATCCGCGGCGGCGTGTTTCCATCTTCTCACCCAACACCGGCGGTCTCGTCAGGTTGTTCCCTACTTTCTCATAAGAGCATGTATATAAGGCTTACTCAGCAGGCTATAGCATTTGCCAGCTCATCCAAATCCTACATGGCAGAGAGAGAAAGCAGGAAAGAGAATGGAGCGGCTCTCCTGCAGTCGCCCGGCTGTAGCACGCAGTACGAGCAGAGCAGCCGGCTTGCAGCTCACACCGCTGGCGCTAGGCCGAAGCTAGGAGATTCCACCCAATCGTGTTTATACCCAGCTTAAAGAACTAATAATTTAAAGCTTTAATGAAGCCCACTTAGCAGCCGGTGTATAGCTAGCCTATTATATGGCCCGGCTTTAAGCTGGCTCTTTGATGATATGGCACAGGCTTACAGCCGGCTATCGACGCTGTTATTATCCTTGCTCTAAATCTTAATCCTCCCCTCTCTGGTTTTCCCTTCCGGAGACACGGCGTGATTTGAAGAAGGAATCAGGGATTTCTTCTCAATCCGAGTCGATCTCGAGGTCCGACCAGTGGCCTGTATAAAATAGCTAGCGGGGGCGGGACGGAGAAGAGTCAACCAAGCCCAGCCTGTGATTTGATTTGAAGAAGGAATCCGCGAGCGATGGGGAGGAAATTGCCCGCTCTTGCTCCGGCCGGGGCGGCGGCGGCGGGAAGGAAGCGAAAAGGTGCCACCTTGACAACGCTCGCCGCGTGCAAGCGCCCTGCGCGGGCGCAAGTAATCGGCGGATGGGCGTCCCTGCCCACCGACATAGTTGGCCTCATCACCTGCCGGCTCCTGGCCGGCGACGGCGACGGCGACGTGGTTGATTACATCGCCTTCCGCGCCGTCTGCTCCGGCTGGCGCGCCTGCACGCCCACGGCGCGCGACCCCACACTGCGGGATCCCCGCCTACGCCCGCGCGGCTGGGTCGCTCTCTGTGACGGCGACGCCGTCCGCCCAGACGATGCCTGCGAGATCGTCTTCTTCCATACGCGCACGGCCAGGCGCCTCCGCGTCCTCCTCCCGGAGCTCCGGCAACACAGGATCGTTGGCTTCACCGACGGACTCCTCATCCTCGTGCACAAGCGCACCACCGAGGTCCGCGTGCTGCATCCCTTCACGCGCGTCGTGGTCGATTTCCCGCCCCTCGCCCCGGTGTACCACGCGGTAGTCAGGCGGATGAAGCTGCTCGACATGAGCGCCGCGATATGCAGCAGCGCGTCCTCGGCGACCTCCATTGCGGTGGTGGTCTGGTTCCTCTGCACAAGTGTGGTGCTCGGCGCCGACCCGGGTTCAGATTGGGAGCTTCTCCACCGAGGTCTTTATGTTTGGAATACCTTGTCCTTCCAAGGAAAGCTCTATGCCACCACCCTGTCTTCACACGAGATCCTGCAGCTATACCCTCCTCCCAGACAGGAGGAACCCCTCGAGAATTCTGTGGTGGTTGCTCATGCTCCATATTTTGCTGATCGCATGTATAGCGATTTTCTACTCGTGGAGTCTGGTGGAAGGATGCTGCTCGTCGTCCGGCACCCAGCTCCTGGTACAAAGGAGATGGACTGGTCGGGACTAGAAGTCTTCAGGCTCTATGAAGTGCATCTGAGCAGCCAGCAGTGTAAGCTTATCCCGGTGAACACCTTAGGCGACCGCTCGCTGTTTCTCAGCGGTGACCGATGCCTGTCTGTTTCGGCCAGGGACCTCCCAACCTTGAGCAGCAACTCCATCTACTTCAGTCTACCATGGGACCCCATTGTGTTGCATTCGCTGGGGACTGGTTTGTCCGAGCGCTTAGCCGAGTCCTGCAAAATACATGATGGGAAGGACAGGATACGCCCATCTGTGCGCCCCTTCACCATTGCTGATCATCTCATGACCTACTGCCATACTCCTGAGTGGTATGTTTTCCTTCCTCAGTTCCCTTCCTAGCACAGATGCACCTCATCAGTATCCACGGCAACGAATGGATGTATGTTTAATTCTAATTTCGGTTGTCCTTCTCTTCCTCAACATATGTAGGTCTAAAGGACTCATGTTCCACGAGTACCAACACATACCTGAATCTTTCAAGGAACTGATTAAGAACATCCGGGCACAGGATGCGCAAGTGCGGATTCCACGTATTGGTTGAGCTGACGCTAAGCTTCACATTGCCCACTGAATAATGAAGGTACAAATAATGCCAGTATAGGCAATAAAGGCACAACTTCTTACAACTGTCTCAGTTAACATTTTTTCAGTCACACAACTTCTAACCTGGCAGTCTCTGTGTTGATATCAATGTTATCATTTCTTGCATATTTGACTTGCCTGGTGCAATTTGCAATTAGTAGATTCCTACCAAGCGTAAGAGCAGTAACCATATCATCAGCAATGTGATCTCATTATAACCTGCTGCAGCTACATATGAGTAATATGGCTATGATTTAAGAGAGAACCAATTTCTTATCCACTTCTGAGCAGCAGTAGTAATTACCAGCAATGTGACTATATGAGTGACCTAATCTTATGATCATTTTTGTGAACACCAATTGTTTACAGGTTCTGGCAGCATATGGAGAAGAAGAGAGGGGGGCATGAACCTGAAGATATTTTGTTTACTAGGATTGTTGAGAACTTGGTTAACGTATGTATCTGTCCAAATATATGATTATTTAGGAAAATGAAAATCCATCCTCAGTCATGTTGATTGCGGGGTGTATTTTGTCACCAAGTATGTTTGGGTGTTGAACTGCAGTGAAACTTTCTGTGTATTTTTTTTACTTTGAGAAAATAATGCCCATGTGACCTTCATGGCCCTGTTTTTTGATACATAGCCCCGTCTTAATAATGCGAAGTTGGATTATCGTCCTTGCATCAAAGTTACTGCAGGATATATGTGTCGCGCTAATTTTTCTTGTGTTCATAGACCACCTGCTTATGCATTTGGTTGTAGGTTATCTTATACTGATTCTTTGGGACCTGCCAAACTTGTTTGTGAAAATGTTAAACCTGGTCGCAGGCATGTATTTTAGTTATTTCCCAGAACACTCAAGTAACTCTTCATAATGAAAGCTCAAAATGACTTGGTTTTCTTTATTTATTGCACGGTGATTTTATCGAAAACAGAAATTTTCCCATCATGGTCTTGCAAATGTTCTGAAGTCTTACGATATGAAGAGTGTAAAACTGTAGATGGTCTTAGCTTCTCATACTCATGGCCCATGAATCATGATTAATGGCGATTTTCTTTCCAAGCTCATCGGGACAGAAGAATAGCAGGAATCCTGTGTGTTATTCACTGAGAGGCCGAGGCCTTTATATACACGGGAGTCATGCTAGTAGTTACAACAGAGTGGAGCTAATCTCCAGGAAGAGCGTGGCGAACGCTACGCCCCGGCGGGCGCGGACGTGGCCGCGGTCACCGCACGTGGTGCGGGCGAGTGGGCGCGGGCTGGGTCTCCACTAGCCGTTTTCCAACAGCCCCCCGCAGCCGCAACAGGGTCGTCGACGATGTTGAGGCTGGATCAAAACTAGCAGAAGACGGCGGTTGGCAGTCCCTTGATGAAAACGCCGGCGAACTGAGACGAGGAGAGCACGTGGAGAACGCGGACGTCGCCGAAGGAGACGCGCTCCCGGACGAAGTGAAGGTTGATCTTCACGTGCTTGGTGCGCTGATGCTAAGCTTGGGGATTCCCATGGCATCCCAAGCTATTATCTAAAAGAGAAGCAAGCAGCTAAGCTTGGCGATGCCCGAGTGGCATCCCCTCTTTCTTCTAACGACTATCGGTATTTTACCTGGAGCTATATTTTTATTCATCACATATCATGAGTTTTGCTTGGAGCGTTTTGTATTATATGAGTCTTTGCTTGTTTTGATTTTTATTTTGTGTCATCTATCCTTGCTGGACACACCTATTTGAGAGAGCCAAAATTATGCTATGACTTGTTAGAATTGCTCTCTATGCTTCACTTAAATCTTTATGAGCTATGGAATTGCTTTAGTGCTTCACTTATATCTTCTTGAGCATGATGTGCTTTAGAATTTTTGAAGAAATTCTCTCATGCTTCACTTAGATTTACTTTAGAGTTAGTAAAATTTTCAAGAAATTTTCTCTTGCTTCACTTAAATTATTTTGAGAGAAGAATTTTTTTATGCTCATGTTCTTTACTTAGTTTGTTTGAGCTATCAAAAGCAACATATAAAATTAGTCCCAATAGATATTCAAGAGGGATAATAAAAACTTTCATGAAGATCATTGGACAAAATAAACTTGATTCTTTGTAATAGTTTTGCGATATGATGATATAATATGTGAGTCATGTTGATGAGTAATTTTGCTTTAGTAAGAATATTGGTGTTAAGGTTTGTGATTCCCTGTGCAAGCACGAAAGTCAATAGTTATGCAATGAAATTATATCCTACTTGTGGTGCATTATTCGGTGTTAGTTATGCTTAATGCTCGCTTATGAGATTTTTCGTTTCTTGGTTGGATGCTTCTCAATCTTTTGCTAGCCTTCACTTGCACTAAGTATGATCACTACTTGTGCATCCAAAGTCCTTAAACCCAGTTTTGCCATATGAGTCCACTATACCTACCTATATGCGGTATTCTTTTACCGTTTTAAGCAAATTTGTATGTGCCATCTCTAATTTCAAAATAAATTTCTCTTTTATGTGTTCGTACCGCTCATGAAACAGTAGCGGGTGGCTGATAATTTTCCATGCTAGATGTGTTATTCTCAAGATTAGTGTTTATTCACTTGTCATTGCACGGGAATACGACAAAGGTATTAGGGATGCCCAGTCCCGAAATAAAAAATGAATTTACTTTATATTGTCAAATAGTAAATTCCTTGGAAAGTGTTGGTCCCGTGGATTCGGTTAGTCGTAGAATGTGAAAGTATGGTGGAGAAAGGAATAAACTTTATTTTCTGTTTCGAAACCGCCTATGATATATCTAGCATGGAAAATATTGGGAACTACTCGATCATTTTCGTTGACAGGAAAAGCATGCCACCCAGAATGTTTTACCTCTATCTTTTTGCTTTGAGCTTTGGCACCTCTACAAATCCCTACTTTCCTCCGAAGGGCCTTTCTATTTACTTTATGTAATTTTTATTTTGAGTCTCCATCTTCTCTTATAAAGCACCAACTAAGGGGCACTATGATTGTACTTGAGCATTGGGTGTAGCTAATATGCGAGTGTGTTTCATGAATGGATCAATGATTGAGCATAATGGGCTAGGCATAACTTGCTTTAGTATTGGTATTTTGAAAGACATGGTTGCTTGTTGATATGCTTGAGTATTGAAACTTCATGTCAAAACTAGACTATTGCTTTGAATCATATAAAAGTCCAAATGTCCATGCTACAAAGAAAAGAATATGTGATGAACATGTTAGGCAGCATTCCACATCAAAAATTCTGTTTTTATCATTACCTAGTCGAGGACGAGCAGTAATTAAGCTTGGGGATGCTGATACGTCTCCAACGTATCTATAATTTTTGATTGTTTCATGCTGTTATATTATCATTCTTGGATGTTTTACAATCATTTTATAGCAACTTTACATCAATTTTTGGGACTAACCTATTGACATAGTGCCTAGTGCCAGTTGCTATTTTTTGCTTGTTTTTTACTTCGCAGAAAATCAATACCAAACGGAGTTCAAACGCAGCGAAACTATTTGGTGATTTTTTCTGGACCAGAAGACACCTATTGGGCCAAAGAAGTACCAGAGGGGGGCTCCAAGGGGAGCACAACCCACCTGGATGCGCCTGGGCTGATGGGTTGTGCCCACCTAGGCCTCCTCCCGCACCGCCTCTTTGCTCTATAAATACCACAATATTCTAGAAACCCTAAGAGAGTCGACGAAAGACAATTCCAGCCCCGCAAGTTCGAGAAACCACAGATCCAATCTAGACACAATCACGCAGGGGTTCATCATCCTCATTGATACCTCTCCGATGATGCATGAGTAGTTCATTGTAGACCTACGGGTCCGTAGTTAGTAGCTAGATGGCTTCCTCTCTCTCTTTTGATTCTCAATACAACGGTCTCATGGAGATCTATTTGATGTAACTCTTTTTGCGATATGTTTGTTGGGATCCGATGAACTTTGAGTTTATGATCAGATCTATGTTTTTATCCACGGAAGTTATTTGAGTCTTTTGATCTCTTATATGCATGATTACTTATAGCCTCGTATTTCTTCTTCGAATCTTTGGTTTAGTTAGGCCGACTAGATCGATTTTTCTTGCCATGGGAAGAGGTGCTTTGTGATGGGTTCGACCTTACGGTGCTCAATCCCAGTGATAGAAGGGGAAATGACACGTATGTATCGTTGCTATTAAGGATAAGAAGATGGGGTCTATTCCGACATGAATAGATCTTGTCTACATCATGTCATCGTTCTTATTGCATTACTTCGTTTCTCCATGAACTTAATACACTAGATGCATGCTGGATAGCGGTCGATGTGTGGAGTAATAGTAGTAGATGCAGACAGGAGTCGGTCTACTAATCTTGGACGTGATGCCTATATAATGATCATTGCCTGGATATTGTCATAATTATTTGAAGTTCTATCAATTGCCAGACAGTAATTTGTTTACCCACCGTATGCTATTTTTCTCGAGAGAAGCCACTAGTGAAATCTGCGGCCCCCGGGTCTATTTTCTCATCTTATACTCTCAGATCTATATTGATATTTCCCTTTTTATTTATTTGCAACTTCTATTTTCAGATCTATATTATCAAAAACCCAAAAATACCTCGCTGAATTTTATTTGCTTTTATTTGCATATATCAATTTATTAGAACTTTCTCCCGTCCACGTGCCAATTTCTGGCGCCGTTATCCGAAAGGGATTGACAACCCCTTTTAACACGTCGGGTTGCAAGTATTTGCTCTTTGTGTGTAGGTACCATTTACGTAGTGATGCTTGGTTCTCCTACTGGTTCGATAACCTTGGTATCATCGCTGAGGAAAATACCTACCGTTGCTGTGCTGCATCATCCCTTCCTCTTTGGGGAAATATCGACGTAGTTCAAGCCACATAACTGTCCCTGTAGCCACTGAATCCATGAGCCAATTGCGGAAGGACCTGGAGGTGGCCAGGGAATCCCATCGGTGTGCAGAGTCGCA